TCTAAATTCCAGTCTAACACCAGAACCACCTAGAACTTTAGAGACGTTGTAACCGAACTTCGATTTCAGTTCAAGGACGACTTACCCAAGTCCGACTCAGGTAAGTTATGTTTATAAATACGGACCAAAATCTGGCAAGCCCGCAATTGTCCCTCCCATGGTATAAAATCTGACCTTACTACGCATGTACCTGGGCTAAAAGTGAGTAAGCACGATATACCCATCTAAGAATAAGAGAGCAAAATATATGGGAGCACTCCCATGGGAGCGCTCCCATGACTTAGTGAATAGCTATCCTGAGATAACCAGGAGATGTAACTACTTACAAATATCTTGCGGCCCTGAATAAGACATATTCTAAGGGACACAGTAGGGTATAATATCCGCTGTTGTCATATTAGTAAAGTGTATGTATTAAAATATTCGCTCAAGAAAACGATTTACCTCCCACTCTTTTGTCATAAGCTGAATTTTTCACAGATGAAAGGTCACGATAAGATAACCCTTATTCCGAAGGTAATACAAAATTAGACTGTGCAGAAGGGCACTATCATCAAAAAACCAGATATTGTTACCACCGAATAGAGAAAAAAATACTCATTTTTTTGTCAAATGCACAATAAAATCTTTGTAGGGAGTAATTGTTTATACTTATTTAAAAAAAAATCATTTGCATTAGCCCTTACGGCCGAAAAAAAATATAAACGTAAATATCTTAGTTTTAGCCCTTCAAAAATTTAGTTAAAAAGTCGTCTTTTTTAAATATACTACTCATTTAACAAAAAACAAAAGCCTAAATGAAAAAAAAATTCTTTATAAAATTTTTGCTTATGTGTTGACAAGGTAACAGAGTAAACACCATATTTTTTGCTTTTGAATTAACAAAGATATAACAATAAACGATGAGAGATGTCATAGGTTTACGCTGTAATTAATTCTCACCGCCAATTTTATCGACTCTCAGTGTATCTTTCTCTGCACCTGTATGGCACAGAAAAACTGCAGAAATAGTTTGACAGCCGCTAATGTTTTGGAAAATGTTGATTCGTGTGGTGAATCTGATTCTGATTAGTTTGAAAGTCTTGTAATTATAAATTTTAATATTATTAATTTATGCTTTATATACTTCTTCCAATTATTATTATTATAATTTATTTATATTGGGGATTTATTGTATTTTGAAAAACAATAGCCTTACTGTTTATAATCGATACTTCAATAAATAGTTTATATTTTCTTATTTTTCATTTTCCTCCAAAAATAAAAAAAAATCTTGAAGTAATTAATACACCCTATTATTCATAGTGGATAAATCAATAATCCCTGTATAATAATAATAATAATAATTTATTTCCCAAATAACAATATACTTACATACAATCTTAAAATTAATTAAATACATGATATAAAAAAAAGAAATCACAATAAAGATGAACTTTATTTCACACATATTTATATTGTGGAAAATAAATTGAGGGCAGTCCCATGAAGACGAACTTGTTATGGGATATAATATAAGATAATAATATAAGAGAGTCAAACTAATTGCATACATTTCAATACTGAGAGAGATGCATAGAGAGTCGAAAGGCTCTGCCTTTAATGTTTGCTTTCTAGTAAAACCATGATATCACTAATTGTTTATTACTATATTTTTGTTAATTTAAAAGCAAAAAATATGAGGAAAGTACTTTTACCTTGTCAATAAATAGGCGAAACTTTTATGAAGAATAGTTTTTTTTTTCATTTAGGCCTTCGTTTTTCGTCAAATGAGAGGTATATTTCTAAAAGAAGATTTTTTATACAAATTTGTAGACGGTTGAAACCGAGATATTGACGTTTACATTTTTTTTCGAACATAAGGGCTAATGTAAATAATTTTTTTTAAATAATTATAAAAAAATACTTCCTACAAAGACCTAATTGAGCATTAGAACAAAAAATACGCATTTTTTTTTCTATACGGTGGTATCAATAACTTGATTTTTTATGATAATGCCCTTTTGCACAGTCTAATTTTGTATTACCTCCGGAATAAGGGTTAGCTTATCAGGTACTTTCATCCCTGAAAAATTCAGCTTGTGAAACCGAAGTGGGAGGCAAAGTTAAAATAAGTTTTAATCTACACCATACTATATGGCCATTTCATTATTCTCGTTTTGTTTACAAAATTATTTACATATATTTAAAAAGCTAAAATATATTTTATTGCAACTGAACCCAAAAAATTTTGAATATTAGTTATATTAAATTTAACTAAATTAGATGTAATTTTACTAAATTAGATGTAATAATTTTCAACAAATTCCAAAACCTAGTGATGTTAGATTGGAAGTGGCAACAGGGCTTACACCGGCATGGAAATTTACGTTATGTAGTATAAGCGCGCGCAGTTATTCATTGATAAAACTAAGTTTTCTTTCCGTAAAATTCTTCTCTCTATCCCTTCTCTTACTTCTCACCTTTCGTCGCCTCGACCTGCGTCTAGAAATAGAATGTATCCAGTGACGAACTAATGTTGGCACCGTGAAAATTATATTTTATCAATGACTGCTTATATCTCTGATCTACACCGAATATAAGTAAATCTAATTTAAAGGTAAGTACCTAAGCAGCCATAAATTTATCATAAATCTAACCTAAGATAAACTGAGATTCGCAGGAGTGTACTCCGAATTTTGTGTCTGCTATACATAACATTTACATCAATAATGCGAACCTATTTATATGGGTACTGATTTCACTAGCGATGCTTGTCAACTGTAAAGCCACAAATAAATTATTTTAAATTTTTTTATACGTCTTTTAAGGGACTTTCAGTAGTAATTTTTTATTGTAAAAGAAAGTATAAAGTGAAAATAATTGTTTTAAAAAATAAATATGAAAATTACGTAAATAACATACAGGATGATTAAATATAGATGATTTTTGCACGAGTCTTAACGTACTCTAGAATGAACCTCTTATCTGAATTTGATATTAGGATCAAATAGGTAAAGGGACCAAATATTATTTTTTCGTCGGCAAGCATAAGGAAAAAAGGGTCCAAATATGTTTACATGTGTAGGCTTAAGGGGTAAAGGAGCAACATATTTTACATGGATAGGCGTAAAGGGTAAAGGGACCAAATACATTTATATATTCGCAGCTAAAAAATTATAGGGGCCAAATAGTTTTACATGGTCAGAATTAAAGGGGCCATACATTTTTATATGGGCCGGCTTAAGGAATAAAGGGACCAAGTATCTTTACATATGCAGGCTTAAGGGGTCAACGGTCCTAATATTTTTCGATTGCGTTGTTCAAACAATTTGCAAACCCTATTGAAAAGGCGACATGAAATGAAATGGTTTTTAAAAACCAGGAATATCAATATGAATAACTTCGACGTGATTTTGCCTAAGTAACGCAAATTCTTTACAAACCTGAAAATTCAACGTCTCAATGCGTCTTTCGATCTTTCGGTTGAAATCAAGTCATGTTTCGTTTCTTTTATGCCATTTAGTCCTCAGTTAAGAAAAAGTGGGAACCACCAATTTAGCATCTCTCGAATTCTGGAATAAAAAAATATACCGCAAAGGAACTTCCTACTTGGATCATGCAACCCCGGCATATTTTTTGTAATGGAAGCTGAAGCTACTTTTTAAAGTTTAAAATTCATATTAGTCAGTACGCTGTCCAAATATATTCCATTCAATTTGGTTTTCACCTTTAAATGTTTACTAAGTTTATGTTTTTTTTTTATAAAAAAAACCTTGTAATCAACACCATGTTGGTAGAGTTTTAATTCGTAATACTATGTTCACGAAAAGGTATTTATGTTGTAGAAACAAACTTCATTATCTATAAATGAATTAAGCAATTCTATCATAATAAGATCCAATGAAATTAAAATGACTTATTGCAAGAAAATAGTCATCTAAGGGAAAAATACAAGAACAATAATTAGCGTAAAGTGTGCAAGTAAATAGTTCATTAGGGGTAGGTCGTCTGTAAACTAACTAAACTGTTCACTAACCATAAGTGATTTTCAGAAATCTCGTTTAACCTACAATAAGTAAACATTTTACTTTTCCCATATTACTCTACAACTTTTTATTTGCGACAAATAAAAGTTCGCTAATGGTTACTTAGTTAATTTTTTTTCCAAAATGAAACTGTTCGAAATTCCTCTAAAATACATATCGTTTTCTTAAGGTAACCCTACATTGTAGATATCCAAACTTAATTATTTGTTTTTAGAAGATTGTCGGTAACTCTCTAACTTCATTTGACTTTAACTTTACTGTAAATTGATATATAAGAACGTATCAGAATTTTTAATCATATTTACGTAAAACAATCAAAACATTCTTTAAGAAAATTTGAATTTATCCTTTTAGTTAAGCATTGGTGTTAAAATATTTATTATTCGCGTTCATAAGCAACCAATAGAATAATTACAAATGGTTACAATGTTGCCCAATGTTATCAGCTAAAAATAATATATGAAACTTACTTTTCAGTTTTAATATTTTTCACTAGGATAATAAAATTGCATATATTATTACTTGCGTAAAATCAATAAGCACATCAACTAGTTAAAGATTAGTTGAATCTGCTTTAGAAAACTCAGGATTCGTTTTATACAGAAAGTATTCAAAACGCAAAGAAAATAGAAATAAAATAATAATAATAATAATAATAATAATAATAATAATATAAGGTAGTTAAAAAGAGGAAAGGATTAAAATCTAAAACTTATTTTTATATTATTTTCTATTTCAATCTTCCTACAATACATACAGAGGTAAGAATAACAGGAAAAAGTAGACATTTGGCAACAAAATTTAAATTCTTTGGATTTATTGGTACACGTCACAAGTCTTACGGAACAAGCATTGTACATTTTAATAGTTAGTTCTCCTTCCTGCTGTGATATCTGAACGGCAAAATTTTGTAATGGATTCCTATGGACTATTTAAAATTATGTCTACTATACCTAATTTTTTTTGTTTCAGTTAAAACTGCAAGAAGCATTGCGAAAACGAGAAAAATTCAGCAAGGAACATGAAGAGGTAAGAATATTGAAAATTATAAAAGAAAAATTATATCATATTGATAAATCATTACAAAAAAAATAAGTATGTTTCGGAATCACAGTATCCCAAGCATATTTTATTATTTTACACGATAATCAGATGATAATTAATATAAGCTTGAAAAATTTCGGATAAGAAGGAAGCTAATAAGCTTACTGGAAAGGACTCGATTAATTTAAACATAGTATCTGAGCCACTGACTAAATTTCCGTAAAATATTACGTGATTAGTTCCATTATAACATGGATTATAAAAAGATCAATGTAAAAATGAGTAAATAAGTCTGTACTGTGTGACGTAAGCGCATTGTATTACACTTAGCTTGCTTCTCGAAAAGTAATATTGCAGTTTTCTCACTCCATTCAGATGAAAGAGATAAATATGGCTGTCAATTTACCGAAGTCTTTCGACATGTACCCTCTATCTATCTTTCAGTGTACCTTTCAATTAACGAGTGAAGTCTATATGACTTTGTAAAGTTTATATGAACTCAGTCGCTAATTTTGCATCCGGGTTGTACCATAATTTCTAATGGATCTTGGATATACAGGATAGGCCATCAGTGCGTGGGTGGAAGATTGCGGGTTTATTAAGGTACATTTTTAAAATTAATTTTTGGGGCAAGGTGAAGGACCTCTAAGGCTACAACCTAAAAATATTTTCGATAATATTCCAATTTTTCTACAGGGCGATTTATATCAAAGTTATGTTTTTTTAATGTATTATTGCATATTTGGATTCCTCTGTCAATTTTAGTGTGACTTTATGTATCACACATGGTATCTAAAATGAGTCGTTAAGCAGCAATTCATTATTTTTTCAAAAAGTAGATGTCTAGTAAAAATTGAATATCGCAGTTATTATAAAACTTAGAAGGCCGTGACTCTACAGTGTTACTAAGCATGAAATGTACTAACATTTACCAGACGATCAAACCCTTTTCGTGTTTAAAGTAATCGCTACGCCAATTTGCAAAATTTCAATCCAAGGTAACTTGACTATTTTAAATGGGACTGCCAATTTTTTTCATTTCATTACATACAGAATTCGATTACCTTTCTAATAATATAAAAATATGTTGATATTTATCTTTTACAGATTTCTTTTTACTTAAAAAATTCTACTGATTCACAGAATTTTTAAATTTTTCTAATCTTTCATTCTACTGATTCACAGAATTTTTCTAATCTCTTTGAAATTAGTAGACCGTTAAAAATTACAAATAGCAATTTCAATTAAAAACATTTAATAAGTTGAAAAAAGAAAACAAAAAAAAATAAATAACACCACAATCAAAATAAAAAAAGCAATTATTTTAATAAATGTTCAAAATGTCTACCATCCTGTTCTAAACAAACTTGGATTCTTCCACGAAAATAAATGTTAACCCTATCCAATATTTCTGGGTTAATATCTTCAAAAGCGTTTCTAATCCTGTTTTTCATTTCTGATGTGGTTGGTTGTTCCGCATATACTTTTTTCTTTGATATAACTCCATAAAAAAGTCCATGGGAGTAATATCTGGAGATCTAGCTTGCCATCGCAATGGTCCATCCCTTACAATCCACCTTCCATTAAATGAATTGTTGAACGCTTACAACACGGGTACGATGTGGATGTGCTCCATCTAATTCTAAACAAAACTCCTGAATATCTTTATGAAAAGATCACCTTTAGAACAGAGGTCCATAATTTACAACTAAGAACCAATAATATAATAACTATTCCTAGACATAACAAACAAATATTTAAACGCTCATTTTCCTATCAAATTGCGCATTTTGGTTGCATGTTCGACCAACACGAAATATCTCCATCTTTAAATTCATTTAGAAAAAAAACATAAAAAAACGCCTGTTCGCTAAACAGCATTAACTAAAATACTAAACATTCAAATGTACCATATTACGTTTAATGATAATTAATGATGTTATAGAACCTACAATTGTGAATTTTACAATTTTGAACTCTGAATTTGTGATTTCTTCATTTAGTACTTTTTAAAATAATTTGAATATATAATTTTTTTTGTTATTTACGTATTTGTTATAAGGGTGGTAAAACTTAAATATCTTTTTCCTTTTTTTTAAGGTTATTGTGGCAGAATCGGTCCATGACCTAACTTTAACCTTTTATTTACCATACGTTTTTATCTCTCTAGGCAATATTTTTAGAGTTACTACTTTATATATCTTTGTTTTATATGGTAAATAATAAATTATTATTATCTTGTTGAAAGTACATATCTCTAATTTGAGCAAGTAGTACATCTTCTAGGAGACCAAATAAATGGTTATTTAAAAAATTTAAATAAGTTTCTAAATTTAAAACACCATCAAAAAAGAAAGGACCAATAACATAAGTGTCTATTATGCCTGCCCAAACATTAACCGACCATTTCTCCTGACTATTGACTCTGAAATAGTGAGGATTTTCATCTGAATAATAATGAAAATTGTGCCGATTAATATAACCATTTCGGTGAAAGGTACACTCATCTGTAAACAAAATTTTTTAAAAAAATATTCATTTTCATTTAATTTTTCTTCTTCCAATTGAAAAAATTTATCCGGTGTTGATAATCTGTTTCTTTAAGCTCTTGGTGAAGTTGAATATGATAAAGATGGAATTTATTTTTATTTATTATTCTTCTGATAGAGGTTCGGCTTATTTGAAAATCTCTTTCAAGTTGGCGAGTAATAGTATGAGGATTTTCTACCACTGCAGTTAAAATATTAGTTTCATTTTCTTCATTTACAACAAATTTAGTTCTTCCTTGTTTTTGGTTATAAGAAACATTTCCTCTTGCAATAAACCTGGCCAAGAGATTTTTAAATGATTCTTATCTTGGATGACGTTGTCGTTCAGGATATCTTTCTTTATAAACACGACTTGCTAAAAATGGATTTCTAGAGCATTCTCCGAGAATGAAAATCATCTCAATTAATTCATTTTGGAAAATATATGCTATTATTATCACTTAAATTTAGAACGACTTGCGCAAAACTAGAAAGAGTTTTAATAACTAATTTCTAATGTCACAAAAAGTGACAGATTTACTTTATTTTCCCAGCCTACTAATTAAAAGATTTTAAAAGTTGAAAAATACTGTTAATTATTAGATTTTTTTAAATAAAAAGAAATCTGTAAAATATAAATATCAACATATTGTTATATCATTAGCAAGGTAATCGAATTCTGAATGTAATGAAATGAAAAAAATTTGGTAGTCCCATTTAAAATAATCAAGTTACCTTGGATTTAAATTTTGCAAATTGGCGTAGCGTTTACTTTAAACACGAAAAGGGTTTGACTTTGATCGTCTGGCAAATGTTAGCACATTTTATGCTTAGTAACACTATAGAGTCACGGCCTTCTAAGTTTTATAATAACTGCGATATTCAATTTTTTACTAGATATCTACTTTTTGAAAAAATATTGAATTGCTGCTTAACAACTCATTTTAGATACCATGTGTGATACATAAAGTCACACTAAAATTGACAGAGGAATCCAAATATGCTATAATATATTAAAAAAACATAACTTTGATATAAATCGCCCTGTAGAAAAATTGGAATATCATCGAAAATATTTTTAGGTTGTAGCCTTAGAGGTCCTTCACCTTGTCCCAAAAATGAATTTTAAAAATGTACCTTAATAAACCCGCAATCTTCCACCCACGCACTAATGGCCCACCCTGTATAAAGAAACACTTGAAAACTTATAAGACAATCACTAATGAAAGGTGTCTATTAGTGAATGTGAAGATCCACTTTCTCTGTCAATGGTTTCAGCACTTACCTCATTTCAAAGAGGCAAGTACTTTGCTGCAGCCCAATATTAAAAATGCACAATAGAATCGATGCTACTCAGTAATTGCAAGAAGTACCAATTTATTTTTATTTCAACGGTATGTACTTACAAGGCCTACACACCACAACATACAACACAGGATCAGAACAGAATGAAAAGAAGTTTTGAGTAAAATAAAGTAAAATTTGCTTAAATGTAATATTCAGAAATATTAAGAAATATTAAAAACAAATTTATATTTAATATTTTTAATGTCTACATACTTCACAAATATATTCTTAATTAATAAAGCTTTTTTTCTATGCGGTTTTTAGATTTTAAGGGATATCAAACAGGGTTTACTTCAACTAGGAAAAGAAGGAATTCGTGGACCACTATCAGGCGGTAAGTAATAAACAAAATTGTCGATTTTTATTGTTCCCAATTGATGTTTTTTGAATGTTACAATTAAATATAGAGCACCGAAGATTTGTAATTTTTTTTTGATTCATTATTATTATTTATTATTATTATTGCCTTTCTCAAAAAGACATTACAATAATAATAAAAACAGATTCTATTAATCACTTCAGTATCGAGTATGTTGAAAAAATCAGTGATAGCTAAAACTAGCTAAACCTAAAATATGGATATATTTTTGGTCTGCCCTTAAATATTTTCTAATAAACCATGTCTATACATAAAATTACTTAAATTAAAAACCCTCAACTAAGCTTTTTTGATAACTGATGGTCCAATATGATAAATACATTCATAAAATATAATGAGGGAGGGCTCAATGGACCAAGGTGGCTTCTGGTTTCGACCCCACTGTCATTCTACCGATCTTAGTATTATCCAAGGCAGTACTTTGTTTTAACTGCACTCGCCACTTCGTCTTCACAAGATTTGAGTACGATACATAAAATATCTTTGCCATTTCCATGTTCTAAAGGTAGTTGAGAGCCAACTTCATCATCTGGTACTTTGGGATCTTCACGCAGTTCTCCATTATCAGACATGAGGGATGGGTAGTCATCATCAAAGATGTCAGTCAATTGGTAATCTTCACCATATTTATTAGTTTTGGATGTGTACATTTCCACAATCTTGCCATAAGAGAACATCTGCGCCGAGTACGCGGCTAGCAACAATTTCATATTCCAACAATGTCATCTTCAATCTCTTAAGTAACAGTACCCTTTCGCTCCAATGCAATGGAACTTGAATTTATTTCCTGCAAAACTCGTTGACATTCATTGACCATGTGGGCACTGAGCCATTCAATTTATGAATGTGCTAAAAGCAAAGCTAGAAAAGTGAAATTTTTGTGATATATTTTCCTTTTTCTCTTGTCTTTTTTTAAGGACAAATAGCACGTTCAAAGGAACCATTAATGTTTTTAATAATTTGTAATGTTTATACCAATGTTATTTGTTTTGTTACTGTTGTTTCTATAATATGTAAAAATGATATTAGATCACTGTTTTTGTATTATTGCTTCAAATACTATCAATAAATATTATCATAAATTGTTTATGTAAAAACATTTTCTTCAATGCTATGAGCATAGATATAAAATTAACTAATATGATTATTTTATGACAAGAATTAACAGGCATTTACCTAACATCCAAATTAATTAATTTATTAATCTAGATGACACCTACATGTATGACGAAGACGTTAGAATGTTAACACCGGCTATCCCCCACTACGCGGACCCCTTAAACCGTCCCGCTCATTGGTACGATGAACCTCCATACGAAAGTGATCCAGAAGACTTTCTAATGGGATGCAACGAAGGTAAGCAACTGATATTCTTTAACGATTAGACTTTTTAGTTTTTAATTCTTAGAGAAAATGAAACAACTGTTGAAGTTTTTTTTATTATTTTGAAATTCATAATCGTAAACGATAAGCACTGCTTAGGACTGTCATAAAAGTGTATATAAAACTTGAAACTTGATCTAGTGATCACAGCACAGGGTAAATATACGACCACAGTTAGAAAGATTATTCTAGAGGCTCTAAAAATAGACCTGTTTTGGAATAATAGAAGCAATGAAAACAACCCCCACAGCTGCAATAGAAGCACTAAGGTTTTCCAGCACTTCACTTTGTGATACAAGATTAGATTTTTACAGATTATAAAATACTCTGGGAAATCTTACTATTAGGCCAGGTCACATAAGTATCACAAGGTTAGTGATAAGGGACGTGCTCGATATGAGAACAGATCACATGACTAAGTGATAATTCTTCAACACTCCATTCGAGGTTTTATCACCAAACGTAACGGAGATGACAATAAGAGAACACAGGTCTTAGACTGCGAAAGACACTGGGGCTGGAGTATTCTCCATAAACCCTAACACCACTCTTAGCTTATGCAAGAGGAAAATTTACTTCAGTATTTGAGGCTGAACTTTAAACAATCTTGAATTGTGCAAGAACAAACAATAGTAGAACTACCGAAAATAAGCAGATTCAAATAATGTCAGACAGCTAGGCGGCCAATAAAGGCCATATCTGGCTGTAGCAGTCACACCGATGTACAGGCTTAACCGGTGTATCACGCAACATATAAAATTGAGCCAATATCTGACCCAGGACTATTCATGGACTGTAACAATAAAGAAAGTTTGAATACCTTTGTGATCCATAAGGTCTTGGAGATGTAGATACTTGGATTCAAAGGCCACCTCTTACTGAACACATTTTATTTAAACACGAATGGAAATCAGTTTGATTTAACACTAATATACATTATTAACATATACGTTTTTCTCGGAAATTTATTATCTTAAGCCATGTTGCTCGAATTACTTTATATTTTTAATAATGGCGGGCAAAGCGTCCCCTTCCATCACGGGAAGCGCGTATGGTTTGCTTGACGGTTCATGAAGCATTGGTGAAAGGAGATGAGATGCCAAGCGAGCTTGAGGCTGACGTCGTAATTTTTAACCAATGAGCAGTAAATGACGCGCATGACGTACTCATTTGCTAGAGAACTTCCTTATCGGCTGACATAGTGCAGGCTACAGGGATGACTATAGGAGTTTTTCGGAAATTAGAGATGCTAAATGTATATTGGATGTAACGTTGAATGTAATGTTGAATGTAATTCAACACTGGCTGATTTGGGATTGCATGGAAAAATTGAGAATACTGGCAGTCTAGTTTGGGTGCCAAGTCATCGAAGAAACAAGGCCATTGAAAACGTTGATAAACTTACAAAAAGAAGGTCAGTATAAACACTGAAACAAGATATAAACCTTGGAATACCAAAAAATACAGGTCAAGGTATCATAAAAGACTGGGTTCGGAGAAAAAATAACTATTGAAAGACTATTTCAAAACAAGCAAACCTTCATAGGAAGATTCATAAAGAACAGGAGAAATACAAACTCTCTATTGCTTGAAAAGTACCTCCCGGAGCGGAGTAGAGCTAGTAGATTTTTTAATCACGTGATCATCGAGCAATCGAGCTTATATGGAATAAAAGAACGGCTATGGATTTGTTTGCGTTTCTCGTTTCCGGTTTTCATTAAAATAACAAACTTAAACCTTTCTTTTAAATCAAATTTGATCTCTCGTCTCGTGATTTTTGTTGCAAGTTGCAAAGTAAAGTTAATTTTTAGCTGTAGTATTTTCGCTTTTTGCTTTCACTAGAAAATAAACCATGTTCTCATTTCTGTCTGAAATTTTTTTTTTTTTTTAATAAACAAACACATAATAATATGAAAAAGAATAAACTACAACACAAGAGACAACGAACGACGTCTTTACATCTCAGAGAAGTACATCTACTTTGTAAATTGTCACAGAAATTAGATTTACTCCGAAAGCTCTAAAATTTAATTCGGAGTAAATAGATCTTACTCGACTTACCAGCTGTGCATTAAAAGACCACGGAGCAGATACCATCGAGTAGCCACAGATGTATTAAAAGAACGGCTTCGAGTAAAAAGAGCAAGACGAGGTAGTTTTCAAACGCAGCATATGTATAAAAATCAGTTGAAAACAATATCAAGACTCATGACTGGGCATACCCCAGTAAAGGCTCTGCTGAACAAAATAGATGCACATTGTATCACAAGGAATGAAAAGCAACCAAAACACATATTGTAAGACTGCGAAACATTTGACAACCTCAGGTTGATCCAAAAGCCTGTAGAACACACTCTGTCAAAGACCTGCACGAACTTGAACGAAGGACAAAGTTGAAAGGGTGGGGTAAAATACCATCTGGTTAAACACAGTAAGCTATTAGGCTGCAATATTGTCGGTGACCAAGTCAAACGAGCCCTGAAAAAAACCACAACTTAAAAGTGTGATAAAAATAAATAATAAAAAACAAATCCTCTATAACTTTATTAAGTTAGCTTAGATGTATCATATAAATACTGATTTTTCTTTTTCTTCGCCCTTAAGAAAACATATTCCCCCCTACTCTCAGATCTTTTCTCTGGACTGGTATTTCCTTAATAAACCCTCGTTTTAAAAATAAGTGAGTCGATAATGGCTATGGAATAAGAGTTCTGTCCATACAGCTGTTACCGCAAGACATAAAAATTTTTTGTTAAAAACGCACGAAAATTTAGAAAAATATTTAGCAACAACGCGAGCGATGGAACTTGTCGCAATCAGTGACCTAGATTTGTACATTACCTATGCCTACTTCAGTGTAATTCTGTACCTTAGAGGCAAAAAATTTAATCACCAGTTTTTTACACATATTGAGTGGATATAATGCATTCACTGTATTTTTTAGTGGTAGAAGTACTAGTTTTTGATATATACGTTCAGAAAAAATACCATTAAGTATTATTTAACAATAATATCTTTGCATTCCTACTCAAGGAGTCTAATTATTAAATAGTTTTAATATGTACTTGTATTTAAATAATACCCTGTATACTTAGAACTTAGAACATCTGTATTTCAATCTTAAGTCGAATTATTTTCTATATTTCGGAAAAAATATCCGATTTGACATAAACCTCTAAGCAAATGAATAGTTTTTGTTTTTCTTTTGGAAAGGTCCTTCTGCAACCATTCAAAATGGAAGGGTTTGCTTCACTCTCAACACAAGGCAGGATTCCAGGGGTGAAGGAGTTATATCGTTAAGGAGCGCGGGCGATATATCACTACCTAGGGAATCAACGCTTGGCATAGGGACTACGCCAAGGAGAGGGCTAATTTTACCTTCACAAGCTGGATATCCTCCTGCTATTATACCTTTAAGGTAAGAATCTGTTTTGAATTAACACCTAGCTAATATATTAATTTGCGCCTACATTGTTTTACAAATTTATGATTACTTTACCATACCATAATATTTAATCACCAGATTAATCAATACTATTTAATTAAATTTATTTTTAAATCAATTTAGCTCCTCAAACGGATATGTCCTTATTTCTCTTAATTTTTTTTAAACAATAATTGGCACACTAGATAAAACACTTCCACATTTTTAACATTCAACCAAGCAATACATAATCGTTTATGTCTTTTTATTTTCCTATAACATCGTACTTTTTAAATTCATTTCAAGTACCGCTTACAGCTCATATCCACTTGTATAACACATCTACACTGCGAGCCAGATGGTTCATGCCTAAATTTTTGTTCGTCGGCAGATTAACCTCTCCTTTTGATGAAGACCATGGTTGAGTTAGCAGATACTTATTTCAAAGTCGCAAGGCTCCAGTCGGGTATATCTACAGTCTGAAACTTATTTCGTTCCAAGGCGGAGCAGATAGATAGAATTTTCTCCGTAGATTTGTCTTCCATGTTGCAGAATTGACAGTACAATGTTTGTTGCAGACCTATATTGCTAATGTGGTCACCTAGAAGACAATGTTCTGTCATCAGTCTCGTAAGTTCGTACCTTCTCCATTCATGGATCTGAGCGGATGAGTTCATTGGAGGGGTGGGTATGAACGCCTTCGAACGAATTATCCCTAGGGTATCTCTACAGTACATATATAATATGTTATCTGTATATCTATATTTAAATAATTCCTTTGACAATGCTCTTAGCAATACCAAGGAATGGTTCTGGTCCTATGAACTCTTTTAGCTATCGCGTCATTACTGTGTTCCGGAACCTAGATTAAAGTAACTTTGTTCCGGGCACCGAGGCACTCGAGAGTATTTATACAGTTCTAAACTAGCTATGAATCAACTCGTTGCAGATCAGAGCTATTCTAAAAGATCTTTATAGTTTTGTTAGCAATAATTTCTGATTGGAAGATTGTGGCAAAAGTTGCCAGCTTTATTGATAATGTCAACTTTTGGTTTTGGAGCCATCCTTGAACAGTGCATAGACTTTTTAGAAGAGCAGAATATTCTCCTTGCTGCATTTGTCTCTTTATAAGGACGCTGTATGACTTTTATATTTGCTTTCACTCAACGATCTCGTTAGACCACCCAGCAAAATTTGAAGTGGGGTTAGATCCCACATTGTCTCCATTGCTCCCATCGATGTGTTGAATAGTGGCCCAGTGATGGCGACTCATGCAAACCGCTAAATTCCAGACAGCTTTGCTCTGGCCGTCTCTTTTAGTCGCTTGTCTCACTAGACAACAGAACTATTGGTTTTACCACGGTTCGATGAATCCAGTTCCTTAGTTTGCTTTGCTGGATATCCTTCTGAGGATCGAACGGGATAGTCTGACTTTGTTGATGGGCGTTCCAGGTTAGTTTGCCAGACAAATTATGTTGTTGATATTCAGTTCTAGATTTTGCAAAAAAATGCCTAAAGAGAAAAAATTGATTGCTTACTTCGACGCTGGATTGAATATTAATGAATAGAAACTAGAAACCAATGACGCGGCGTAGCCTTTGTCAGCTATATCTGTGATTGGCTGCCAATTATCGTTAGAGATCTTTATCTAAAGACGAAGAAAAAATATTGCCATTTTTTCCCTGAACTGGAACACATACAAATTTGTGTATAGACCTTGTTTTACATTTTAAGGTTTCACTGAATGTGCAGAAGAGATTAAAATATTTACTAGTAAGGAATTTAGGTTTCATTAGAAAACTGTTAAAAAACACATTGTGTACTCATTCTTTAACAATTAGGTTAAAATATATTCTAAACTTCAAACTGTTTACAGATCTTCAAGGGACATAGAAAGCGGCGATTACGCAGGCTCAGACGTTCAGAGTGTGAGTTCGAGATTATCGACACTCTCCGTAGATACGAGTCGATCCGAACACCACGAATTAGGCCAAATCATTTCACCCCAATATTATACGCAGCTAGAAGGAAAAATAAGACATTTCAGAAAAATTAGCGGTTATACAAGAAGCGAAGACGGCCTATCGCCAGGTCAAAGTTCAGATTACGAAGACCAGGAGGATTTTAGTAATTGTAGCCAGCAGATAGCAACTGTACATGTAGTAAGTTATTTTTTGATAGTTTTTACGAGAGTTTTTATCAAAGCAACTTTTTAATGCCGAATTTGAATAGCCCTACGAAAATAATACAATAAATGTTTTTTTCTCTCTCTACAGTCTAGCGATGGACGATCTGCTGGCGTATCTGGGCTTGTAGGTAAAGTTAGAGGACTTAGGGAAGACGTCCAAAGAAAAATTTCAAGGTTAAAAATTGATACTACTGATCAGCAACGAGTTGTCGATCCACCATTCCAATGTTCGGCGAGTTCTGTCGAAAGTCTGCCTAGCGGGTCTGGATCTAGTAAGTTTTTATTGAAATACTACATAATAGGATATAATAACTACATAGTTCACGGACCACTCCTTATGTGGGATTTATTAGGTACCGACATCAATAATAAAAATAATTTTGATAGCATTCCTTAAATCACTAGTTTTTCTTGTCAATTTTTAGCCCTGACGGTAATGACACTTTTTTGCATGATTTTAGTAAGCTTTGATTGCATTTTTGCTGATATTTTTATATTTTAATAAATGTTTTTTTTTTCAATATTTCACTTAAAATGAGAAGATCAAATTAGCCTCCGTGGACTGTCATTTGGATTTAAGATATTTAAGCGTATTAAAAAATATATATTCTTTAACAAAGGGATGTTTAATAAAGGGATGTTTGATTGGGATCGACCCTGCATATATTTTTGATATTTTGCACACGTGTCCTCCATAACGACCGAATCTACTAAGTTATCAACAAAAAACTATTAGATATAATAAACGAAGAACAAACAGAGCAAATAAAAATGAAAATTAATACGAGTATATATAAAGAAAAACAAGATCATTGTAATCAAAGAAAATGATAATAATAAAACAAAAATATGAAATGCAAAAATATAAAATTGAAAATTGTCTCTATATATGATTGTATTCGAATTACATCCGAACAATCACGCAGAAATAAAAATAAAAATTTATATTTCAATCACCCACAAAATTTATCCTTAGGGGGAAGTGGGGGAATGGTGCGCAGCTGTGCTAGAATCGTTGTGGCGGTCAATACAAAAAGCAAATAAATAAAATAGATAAATACCAATTAAACCTAAATAAAAAAGTTATGAAACAGTGATTCCTGTGAAGCTATTTAATCAGTATAAATAGCTTAATGCTGTATTGAATCAAAATACAAAACCAGCAAATAAATGCCACCTAAAAATAAAAAAAAAACTTATAAAACGGTGGTTTCTGGAAAGCTATTTAACCAGTATAAATAGCTTCACGATGTATCGAACCAAAAATACAAAATAAATAAATAAAACAATAGTTAATTAAAAACGGTAGTGGTTAAATAACGGTAATATTAATAATCAATTGGATATAAATTGATTAAATAACTCAATAAATTAATTTCTAATGGCGGTTCCAAAATAACCTTGGGAGGCTCGAATGTCCAAACTCTAAATATTTCGAGCGTTAGTTCACCTATCGTGGTACAAGAAAAATAAAAAACATGTGTGATATTCGTTGCCGGTGATGTCAGATAGCCCAGTGAAGGTGAGCAGAAATTTTCAATTGTTCTCAAATTCTTCATTAGTAGCGAATAATGCTTGGGATTTCAAATATTAATGCTCTACGGTCGAGTTTTAGACAAATCTGAGAACAGTAGTATTTCCTGGATGCCGGTTTGGAGCGACGTAAGAACATACATAAATAGTAATTTAGCGGAGTAAAGAAAATCGTTCTAACTTCGGACTGACTCGGTTTTTTTTAGAAGTTTAGTCGCAAGGGCGGTGCTATGCAATACTTGTTTGTCCCTGTTACAAAACTTTCGCTTAATTTTACATTTTGTAGTCCCAGAATGTGGACTAAAAATTTTACTAATAAAGTCATCAGCGCAAAAATAAAAACTACTGCTCTTGATTTAATTTTAGGTGCTCTTTTCAAATATTGAAACATATTTTACCAATTCCGACATACAGGGTTGTTTTAAGTTTGGACGAATTTGTAAATTTTTTGTAAAGACTGACCTTGATTTATTTTCTTGTTGATACCTTAAGGCTCCTATATGCGATTGGCCATGATGGGCCTTTACGTAATGGGCTATAATCGATCGGTCATGATGGATCATTACATAATGAGCCATCATCGATCCCGTCGTTATGCTGTCATCTACACAATCTCCCGTGCTTATTTACTTTCTGTCCATTGTTTAAGATGGAACTCGATCACATAAACAATTTTATTAACAAAATTTTGAAAAAGTAGATACTGACTGTTCATCGTAATTTTTGTGATTTTTATATTTAGGGTTCCAAATAATAGTTGGCTCGCAATGATAAAGTTCTATAAATTTAAACGTTTGATCGTTAGTCCATGCCGCTATTGTAAATTTGTCAAAAAATGCTTCGGCGATCGTGTGGACACACAAAAGCAACTACAGTTTACTACCTTTGATCCGTGTGTGAATAAATGACAGCTCATCGATAAACGACTATCACTGGACCTCCACACAATGGTACTCGCTTGTGATCGCCCATGATGGCTGATCGTGTACAGGAGACATTAGTAGAATACGTACGCCAAATATCAAAAACATATACAGGGTGGTTGGCAGCAGTTTATGAATAAAAATAAATAAAGGGCGAAATACTCTTTAAATAGGAATAGTATATTTTGAAGAATCCCGGTGGTCTACATCCACATTTAATGTGTATACCTCTTTCTTTCGATGAAACGGCCCTGTATACATAAACATGTTTTATTTTAAAGGTACGCAAGCATTAGTGAGAGCAGGAAGCAATCATAGTTCAATATCAAACGAAGAACCCGACCCAAGTCCAACGGATCAAATTGTAGGAAGGGCTAGAGCATTAGTAGATCATATTCCAAGTCCGTATGATTCGGAAGCATTAAAGTTTAAGGTAATTTTTTTAATTTCAAAACACCTATTTATGTTCCATTTCTAATAAAAAAAAAAAAATAACAACAGACAGGTGGCTGACAAGATATAAACTCAAATTTTTATTGTAGGCTGGTGATATTATAGACATAGTTTCAATGAATCCAAGTGGACAATGGAGGGGCATCTGCAGAGGCAAGAAAGGCACGTTCAAATTCATCAATGTAGAATTACTGTCAGAAAGAACTGTCAAGTTAAAACGAGAGATAAAATGGCATCGAAATATTAAGGGCAAGCCGATTTCGGTAGAAGATTTGTTGATGAAAATCGGCCTGCACGATTATATTTCTGTTTTTATTTTAAACGGTTATGAAGATTTGGAGTTATTTAAGGAGTTGGAACCTAGCGATTTGGATTATTTGGGAATTGTTAATACGGATCATAGAGCGAAGTTGCTTACTGCTGTTCAGTTGTTACATGAATTGGACTGTAAGTATTGATAAAAGTAAATTACTTCTTTCAATCACTGTATATTTGTAATATTATTTAGTTAAAATAAATACTATGTTTGTTAATACTGCGTTTCTTTCTTCTCGATGATTATTTCATGATATTTTGGATAATATGGTTTTAAACCTGAATACTAAAGTACAATTTATAATATTGACACTTCTTTAGATATCTTTGCCAATTATGTTTTTTAAACTCTTATAATTAAAATATCTTATTTCGATACCTAGATTATGTTTGAAAAACAGTATTTGGAGATAAAAAGTTTTTATTGTTCTCCTCTTTGTTAACTGCTTTATTTGGCGACTTTATTTTAGTCATAGCTTTGTGAGACGTTTATGTTTTTTTGGGCTTTTATCTTGTTTACCGTTTTCATCTTTTTATAACATGTTTTCATTATAATAAGTTAACCGCCATGTTTTGCTCACATGATCCTTCGAGCCATAGTAATTTGTAATATGTGTAAAAAGGCACTTTCTACTATTTAGAAAAGGACAAGAAAGAAGATTTATGTGAAGACTTGAATGCTGAGAATAGAATAACTAGAGATAAAGGAAATTAGTACGAAACACAATATTTTCTAGATCACTAAAAATGTAAAGAGAACGTTCGAAGATTTAGATGCATTACAGTGGCGTTAACTTGTTAATTTGCATTTGAACATTTTTGCTACTCATTTCCTTATACTTGCTTTTTTTTTCTTTTTTACACGTTTTCCCACTTTCTTTTTTTTTACTCTATATTAGCGTTTTTCTGTATATTTTGAATAACTAAAATTCGCTTGTACTTATCTCTAAAAATGTCGTTACTTGTTTTTCAAAAAAAGAATATGTTTACATTGTTCTAAGCTTTATAATTCGAGTAACATAAGCAAATTTTATTAGAGACTTAAAAATACATTGAGTAATGAATACTCTTGCGATAGTGGTTCTTTACCCATGCGTCATTAATTTCTCATAATATTATAAAACACATTTTCTACTGAGCGTTTAAAGCAGGACAACATTCGTTACTATATTATTATGTGTTTAAGTGAAGTATGTTGTTGTGATGACCGATTATACTGAATAGACAATCTTTGATTGACGCATTGACTTTATTAGGGTCATATATTCAGTCACGTCACTGTTTGTCATCGTGATTGTCCACTTGTCAGTTTAGTTTAGTGATGTTATATTAGTGGTGTTATATTGTACAAATAGTTTTTTAATTAATAGTCTAATGCAATTTTTAACTTTAAGCTTAGAACGTATTATATTATACAGTTGATTTCTAAATTGATACTTCTTTTTTAACTGCGCATAGAAGCTGTTAAAATAAACATTTAAAAAAAATAAAAATAAGGAAGATACCGCATTAAAAAATCCAGATCCAGGCCTGTGCCTCAAAGCGTCAAAACTGTTAGCGTCTGTTTAAGTGTTTACTTTCTTGTGTTTTTTTTCTTATAAATCACGCAGCAAGCATGTGTCAATGAACTGGAGTGGGGTAGAATGCTTGTCAATAGACTTGAGATGAGACTGTATGGACGCAGTCATATTATTTTTCATCTCGGAAGTATTTATAATACCTATTTTCTATTTCACATTGTTATTATCTGGTCCACTAGATTGTGGACTGGACAATAACAGTGTGAAACAGAAAATGGTTATTATAAATACTCCCGAGTGAGATGAACAATAAAAATGGCTGCGCCCATAGAGTTGCACTTAGTTCTATTGATACCACTTGCACATTGGCACTCTACCCCTCTCCAGTTTGTTGGCATGTATACATGTCAGTTTATAAATGAGACATCATTATGACAACATTGAACAATGAACTAAACTAGTGGATGTGTTGCTTATACGCTATATTGGTATGACGTAATTTGTGTTCCAGTGACAGTTAATTTTTAAGAATAACAAACTATTCTGTGAATTTGAAATATACGTTTTTTTTAATATTATTTGCTTGCAGGACGTAAAAAAGTAGTTTAAAGGTATGTAACCAAATTATTTAAATTTAAATGAATATAATCATGAAAATATTAGAAATTAATATAAATGTATACCTTAACCTCTATTTTCATAAGCCTACTCTCACTTAATTGACCGTGGAACACAAATTTAGTCATCACCAATAGTGCGCATTTACAAGTTGTCTATAAACATACGGGAAGAATAGAACAGACTTCAGCAACAATTAGAGGAAAATCGATTTACCGACGGAGTGAATGGTGGCAAGTTTGAACACAATATTTAAGTTAGGTAGGACCGTATTGGACGGATTTTGGAATAAATTAATGTAAGTTTATTATTTTTGAGTTTTTTGAAAAATTTATTCAAAAATGTACATTTAATGACTTCTCTACACAGTTTAAAATGACATATTAACTTATGAATCACCCTACCTTTTATGTTCTAATATTCGAATATTTCAGCGATTATAAATGGAATATCCTTTGTAATAGAGGCTTTTCTCTCGTAAAGCATCCTAATTCTCTTAAATAACCAAGAGGCCTTAAAGGCTCTTGATTCAAATAGAATCAAGTCAAAGCTTGTCTGGAACTACCTTGGAATACTAAGAGATCCGCCAACCCACAATAAGGTAAAACTAGAGTGGGTACCAGAGCACAAAGGTATCCAAGGAAATGAAAAGGCTGATGAACTCGCTAAAGAGGGATCAGAAACAGGACCCAAACCTGTATTTGGGATAAGCAAAATCTCTGCTTGACAGGCAGTGAACAGGTGGATAACAACAAAACACCAAATTCACTGGCAACAGATAAGAGGACACATAATCAGTAAGAGGACCAAACCCACGCATGGCTATTGAGGCACTACAACTCGCAAGACCTCAGATATCCACTATTGTGGGATTACTAACGGGGCACTGCTTGCTGAAACACTTCATGTGATGGGATTACACAATGATCTCAATACGTGTAGAATCTGCATGGAAGAGGAAGAAACCGCATACCATGTGATCTTCGAATGCGAAGCTCTTTATGGGTTGCGTCTTATCCTTTTCGTCTTAGAACCGGAAAGAACGCCCCAGGAACACTTAGTAGGGGACTTATTAAAACTAACCAAAGACATAGGACTATTCCAAAGATAGTACCTGAATACAGGGAAAGCAGGAAAATACAATAGATTCAAGAGGCTGTAGTGTTCTGGGCCAAACCTAACCTTACCTGCTTATAACCGACAAAGATAAAGAATATGGAGAATATGTTAAATAGGCTTAAAATTAAAACCATTTAAGTTGGTTTGGTAATATCTTCCTATTTCCGTTTTTATTTACATAATTATCTGTGACAACATTTTATTTTCTTCCATAAAGTATTTATTCCTATAAATAACTAACTAAACAAATAAATAAAGGAAAATAAATGTATACTACATTCATTGTGAAGGTCATATTAGGCAAGAGTAATAATATATTTCTTACATTTTTTATAAAATATTATGACAACAAAAAATGGTTTTTTCACCTACAAAAACAGATATTTCTAATATCAAAAACAGATTTTTCTATCAACAAAAGTCTTTTCTACATAGATTTGCTCAGATATACGGGATGTTTCAGAATAAAGTACCGTAAACTGGGGGATTTGTAGATTACGAAAAGCTAAATATAATTTTCCTGTAAACGTACCAATTTTCATTCTACAGGGTGATAAAGTGAATTTAATAAATAGATGATTAACAATATATATTTCCTTACGGTAAAAACTTTAACTTAAAATATGCAGAATTTGATCAAATTGCATCTCCTAAACGAGGGTGAAATCCAAAAAATATTAGACGGTGCTATCAAAAAGTGAAGAAATCAGTGGCGCATATATTTTTTGTTAAAAATTATTATGTATGACGTATGTGTAAAGAACAGCTAGAAGAACTTTGTCCATACATAAAAAATTGCAAATGGTATTTGTTAAAAAACTGTTATATAAAAGTAACAGGATAAAAATGTATCTTTAAAAATATTCATTTGTTAGGATTAATTAAGCAATTTAATAAATATATTTGATTCATTTTTTGATTAAAACTATTTCGCAACAAAGATGACCTCTGTGATCTGACCATTGGCGGCGCGTCATAGTTTTGTGGAAACTCAACAATTTTTAAAAAGTTTTTTAATTATTATTTATTAAACAGTTTTTGTTACATCATCTTGTGCTTTCTCGGTTTTTTAATACGCGCCGCTTCTGGGTCTAGCCCATTCAACACAAATGTCTATTTCCTTTCCAGCGGGCAGTGAAGGCGACGTGGCAGGTTCCAGTAGCGAATGCGACGAACACCGCGGTCTAACTCGCGACACCGGTAGTTCCCCGTTCGGCAGACGACAATTTCCCAGAGACTCAGGCTGCTATGACGCATCAGTCAAATCTGCCCGTCAAAACCAACATATCTCTCCGCAGGGCGAATCAGACACCAGCGACAGCGCAGGCTTCAGTGATAATAAGAACAATTTGGATTCAGTAGTCGAGCAGTGCAATAACGAGATACTAGCAAGGGTTAAACAAGCTCAGAAAAATTTAATCAACTTGAAAGAAGAACTATCATATCAGCCCAATATTCCGAATTCAGCCAGCATAGAACTGCAGCTCCTGCAACAGAAAAAACCGAAAGACTCTTACGTAAGTGTCCACGGACAAACTTCTTTAATAGATCCGTGTCGTAAAAATGTTAGCCGGCCTCTAAGTGGGGGTTGTGGCAGGAAAAATTTGGAAGAAACCGCTGAGGAACTGAAGTTGATGGCTGCCGAGAAGTACTCGCAAAGTAAGAGCAATCTGAAGTGGTAAAAGTAACACTAATAGTGACCATTTGAATTTGTCCCTGTTTACTGTATTTCTTTTTCTTTTTTAAGTACGTAGTAAGCAAACCCTAGTAAAGATAATAATCAGTAATGAAGTTCGTGTGACTTCTTTCATCATTAAGTATGCGTTCTCAGTGGTTACAGAGGTTTTTTTGGGGATGTAAGTTACACCGGCACCCTTCAATATCGAGTAAATTGTAAAAATAATAAAAATAAGATAATTAGTAATAAAAAAAAAATTATGAATCGAAACCAAGCATAATTCATATGTATTTCGATCCGCTGAATACTGCGGAGGTCATTTGAGAACAAAAAAGTTTGATACCAACAAAAAACAGTTCAAAATCTGAGAAAATCTTTCGCCTCATTCAGTTCATACATCAGTTTTTAGAGATATTGCAAGGGTGGATTTTGAAGGGTGGACGGCCCAAACTGACTTGAAATTCGGATTCAGCGGGTCAAAATACATGCCGGTAGGTAGGTCGTGTCTGATGTACAAACAACTTTTTTTTTGTGTGCCGGTGTTATTGTTTTAAAATAATTATAAAATAAGTGTATTTTATTTTACTCATTTATCTCATCACTGTTGTGAGCAAACTAATATTACCATCAATTTACATTATTCAGTAATCACAATTACAATACATTCACAAAAGGTAGATAAACTCAACACACTCTCTGTTTGAAGTTGGTGCGCATCGTCTTTGATTTTCGATAAAAAACAGTTAAATAGGTGCGCCTACGAAGTAAGCTATAGGCTATGCTCTCGTCCTCGTTTTATCTTGTTGTTCTCAACGAACCACTGGTTAATTTAGGTAAAAACAATTTTTTTTTTCTAATCTCAATCATACTTGCATCCCGAAAAGATGGTTATCTAGAGCAGGGACAGAAGATGGACAGGCCTTTGATAGGTGGAACGTCAAACCCCGTAGGACGAGAATTTCACGGTAATGTTTGTTCGCCAGTATCGTATTATAGAATGACAATAATACCAAACCTTTTAAATTGTTACCGACGGAATCGGACAATCGTATCTATTTATGGGCTAGAAATAAATATTTAAGCAAGTAATAATATTCCAATTCATAATTCTACAAAATTTCAACTGCTATTCACAATGTATTAAACTATTTACGCGAAATTATAATTATTAGCATCTATAAAATAATTTTATATGCCAATGTTTTGCTTTCACATCGTTTAGCTCCGCGACAAAACTCACAGATCCTGTGTATGATGAAGTGGGAGAACTGCGAAAAGCCTTTCCAACTTCGGTCCCTGCTCTACATGTCTTACTCAATGAAGATGTGGGGTCTTTTCACAGAGATTCATTACTGATTTTTTGGTCTACTGTAGGGCTGGTATAGCAGCCCTGGGTCTACTGGGATAGAAAGCGTACCTGTTTCTGGCGCGTTATAAAAATAATAGCATTGTTAAACGACTTCGAGTAACTTTGATGTTGGCAATTATATAGTCCTGAACATTAGATGAGTGAGCAATTTCTTGTTTTACAATTTCATTAGACAATGTCTGAGGCTAAAATTTTCTGTCTACAAGGAAGTTGACGAACAATTAACTAGGTACTCTGTTTATTTTGTTTAACAACCGTAATTTGATTATATTCATTTTTATTTAGCAGTGAAAATCTTGGATATTTGTGCCAACATTGTCATTAATTTCAGTTTATAGTTAAGTTTAAGGCCAACGACTTGTCAAAATTCTGCCTGTGGGCATTGATATAGCAACTCTATGGGTCTGTTGGCTTTGACAGGGTCCATGATATATCACAACTCATCCAACAAATTTTAACCACATATACAGTGTTACATATGGAGATAGAATAGAGACAACATAAACAATATTTTGCGATATGACAGATGGACGACTTCGAGTGACTGAAAAGTGTAATGAAAATGGCGACTATTGAGTCGTACTTTGATTTATTTGAAGTCAATAATTTTATATTTGAAAACTGACGGAATGAAAATGATTTTTCAGTCATTTTTATGAAGCTACTAGCTGTTGACTGCGGTTTTGCATGCCTCATTTTAATATGAAAAAATGCATGAGTGCGATAAGCAGGTCGCTTTGAGAGCGGCCATATTGCCTGCTCATTAATCAGAATCGGTTTAGCCAAAATGTGTAGTAAAACTAATTTTCGTCCATTGAATATAGTAAAAAATAATTACCTACATTTTTACTTTAAGGTTTGGAAAACATGGATGATCAATCTATTGTTACGCAGGTTTTTTGGTATCACAATTTATTTCAACTCAACTTTAACAACAATTATACAACTGATAACATTAACAAGTAACGTCTAACATAAAACTGAAAACTGACGTCAGGATCATCCTTATATAGCTTGCATACCTCTTTTTCTATCTGTATGTTTCCTATGATAGCCGCAGGCTACTGCAGGGTGCCGCGTAACACTATATAACTATCTATATCATTGACCCTGTCAAATCCACCAGGGTTGCCATATTAATGCCCACGGGCAACTTGTTTGGAATACCCACGGAATGCCTAATAAAAATAAAATAATGAATATCTATAACCTCTTATATCACTGTCATTGGTACACAAAATACGTCATCACTATTATAGCGTACCTATATGTAACAAAATATAATGGCCAACCATTCTGCCATATAAAAGTGAATGCTCGTTTGTGTAGTGAATTAAAGTTTTTATTTTTAAAAACTTTAATTCTTTTATTTTTTTAATTTTGATCCTATTGTATTTAAACTTATAAATAACAAACTATTGAATAGCCATCTTTAAAACATCAAATTATATCAATTACCTAAAGTATTTTGGTTCAAAATACACTATTTTAAACCGAAACTAAAGTGAAACTGACAAATTTACTATATTATTTAAGTGCAAGTTCATCTAAAATTTAGACTTAATTAAATCTAAAATATAATTTAATTCCAAACATGAAGAGAACATTTTAGCAAAATGTCATAACTAATGAACAAATGCTAAATAAAACAGAGTTATTTTGCAATATATGGATGTCTGTCCAAAACGATTACCAATGAAAAATTATTATTTACAAATATTTTTTTCAGGCGGAGCAAGCCACGACCTAGGCGTAGAACCTGGAAACGTCAACATCCTCGGCAGGAGTTGTCTCAGCGAAAAGTCTAGCGATTCAGGAGTCAGCAGCAGTTCCTTGTCTTCAGCCAACACCAAAGAAACGCGACCCGTCCTCATCAATAGCACCCAACAACATTTCATCGACAACACCACCGCCCATAATAATTTTAAGAAAATGTAGCTCCAACAGAAGTTACTATATCAGACGTTGCTTAAAAAATAAGTCAATTCTGCCTCTATTTGTTAATGTATTAAATTTAAGAAGAAAACTTCATTTTTATTGCCAAAATAACCTTTTTACAACACAGATATATTAACTTTTCGTTAATGTCAAAATTGTCATTACTTTATGAAAGTGACAGATGACTATTGACAAATTAGAATTATTTTATACAATCTTATTAAAATCTTTAATTTTTTTTATTTTTAAAACAACAGTAAAAATTGTAAAGGCTATTTTGTTTAGCCTCCTAATTTTTAATGATGTAAATGTGAAGCATTTTCCACAAATAAATGACTACACTTGATAGTTTTGACATTTGTTGCCATTTTGATACTAGTTTCTAAAAGCTTTTGTCTGTATGATAATTTTATATTGGAGTATTAAAAACAGTACCTACCTTGTAAATGTTAAAATTGAATAGATACTGTTTTTGTTACTAATGAAAACAAAAACAACTGGTAGCAATAATATCAAATGATAAAAAAGTTATTTTTTAAAATATTAGATATCAATTACATGTAGATAGATGAATTGTCCCTTTTTTGAATTTTTTCTAACAACAAAATTGCATAATCCTTATTTCAGAAAAAATTATTTAAATTCATAAGTGTTTTGTGATTTTAGTGAAGACTCTTACAACTAGATAAAACTGTCTTCAGGCTAATAATTGGATGACGTTATTCTAAAAAAGAACGACTTAATTAATGAAAATGATAATAATTGATTCCTTTTATTACAAGCTAATCGAATTATAAAAACACAAAGTAACACATTTTGTTTATTAATTTTCATACAACGTTGTTGCTAAATGTTTCTTATGTCTGTTAAAAGTAACAGACGTGGGAGAAATTAACAACGACGGCCAGCAGCAAGAATGTAATTAATGCCATAGAGACGTTAACTAAATGACATAGTTACCAACGTTACCAACTACAAAATGCCTGTCTTAGAATTTTTTAAAATGGAAACCTAGATGTTTATTTTCCATTCTCTCCTAGATTGAAACCGGAAAGAACAGGCAGTTATAGAATGTCCTGATTTTGTTAATAGAGTTGGCATATGCAATATCCAATATATACTTACCCATAACTGAACATTTTTCTCTAGAAACAATTTGTTAAATGTCTCCGTGGTAGAGCGCGTGTAGAATGGCTGAAGCTGAAGGCGCCAAAACTTAACTGACGTGGTGTTTGTTTTCAGGCCAAGTAAGACGTTTTTTGTTTTTAATTGTGTATGACGGGTTGCGAAAATTAATTATTAATGATCTAAAATAGTGTGTGTGTGGCGAGTTGCGGTTGTGTATTGGAGATTTCAGTGATGTCAACTTTGACCCCTTCACGTAAATTCATGAACATATTTTGTGATGACTGGGCCGGTGCGCATTTTCCGAACAAGGTTCATTTCGACCAAAGGTCACGACCTTTTATTAACATGGACACATACTTTGATTACTGTACGGTGCAAGAGAGACGTCTGACACGCCCAACATAGGGCGCACATATTTTGATGCAATTACTACTAGGTTAGGCAACACATTTTTTCAAAATGTTTAACTAGTAGCCTACATCTTGGTATTTTGAGATTTTAAATGAAGGCAACTGAAGAAACGGTTATTTATGATAAATAATATACAAAGAACTTCTTTGAAGTAAAGTTATAATTGCATCTTAAAATAGAGATGAGTGGTTTTAAATTATTTCTAAAGCTATGCATATGATTTTACCTTAATATTGATATTTTTCGACAGTCCCATGCCCATGAACAAACATTTTATTTTTTTAATGTAATAAAAATCTTTAGAGGCTAAACAATCTAATATTATATTTTGCATTTTTTAAGATGTAAATATGGTAAGAAACTATAAAATACAAACAAATAAATGTGAAATTAAAGAAGCTCTAACTAAAAGATATTACTAGATGAATATACTTTTGCAGGCAAGCTACAAAAGATAGTTGGTTTGTGTTTTTATCTTATAATTTATCTGAGACAGACACGTTGATGAATTTGTATGTATTGTTCATCTACAAATGAGTCTTATTTCAGTTGTTACACAGTAAGAAACTGTTAAATATTTTTATTCAAGAAAATACCCCTATTGGTATTACTGCCATCACTTCCACCAATATGCTCGTTTTCAAAGATTAAACAAGTTTGTTAATTGTATTAACATTAGATTGCCAGTGTACATTTTCAAAACTCTTATATATCTCCCTACTTTTTGCTTGCTTTTCTTAGTCCTTCGACTTAATATTGTAAAAAGGACGTCGATATATGGTGGCTCTAAAAGACGTTTTTTTACTTTTATAATTCCTGTGTATGTCTAATGTACAAAATCAATGTACCTGCATATCAGTGGTACTTTTGCTTCTCAGAAATTTCCATTTATCCGAAATTGTTACACAGTTTACTGTACCAAATAAAAAATTAAATATTACAGGTCATTTTCTAACTGTTCCAGATAAACTATTTAGCAGAGGGGGCTATTTTCTTGGTGGGCTACCTCTACTTTCAGGTGTATAGATGAGCCAGAGGTAGTAAACCTGAAATAAAAACAATTATCATAACATAAATGTTCCAAAAAGTAAACAATATTACTTACATGTTTATTTATAATATTTCGTTTGATTTTAATACTGCTCCCATCTATTAAAGTAAATGCTTCAATTTTCTTGGTATTTGCCTTCTTCAAAGAATTGTTTCATGATTGATCACATACCTTTTTATATAAGAGCAATAAGCATTTTCCTCAAAATGCTGAGAACAGACATAACAAAGTTTAGCTAAAAATAATTTCTAAACAATTTAATTAATAGTTTGTAAACACTGTTCAAGTTAAGTGCTCGAAATTTAGAATACAATAATAGGAAAATATTTAAAGTAGTTACTGTTACTTACAAATGGAAATATTTAACATAAAATCACCAGTAAAGCAAGGTTTTCAAGATATTCATTATTTGTTAATGGTTTTATAAAGTGTAGGTTCGTAAATAATATCTTTGGGTAAATATTATAACATAACCACTAAAACTGTTGCGCGAAGATGCAGGCAAGACGTAATAAGTGTTCAAAATGGCGGAGTTTTTATCTCCTTTTAAAAGGGACTCATAAAGCTGCGAAGTGCGACCATTCTCCGTCATTGCGTTCGGTCTGCCAAGTTCCTTTAACTCCTTTAACACTTTTAACTCCAAACGGCCCTTTTAGCGTTAGGTTTAGTCCGATTAGTGACAGTTTAACACGCTTAAATGTCATTTAAAAGCACCCTAAAATTTGTCCCGCTCCAGCCCCTGACTGACCGAACTCGCCTCGTATAGTAAGAGAAAATCGAAGTATGTGGCAAACCCTCACGATGACAGAAATAGAGAGATGGTTACGTGATTGGGTCGTATTTCGTTTCACCTTGACATGCATACCGTTTGTCTGCAGAACGATCAGTGCGGTTTTTTATAGCCACAACTCGTATGTGTTTACATTTAAAGCACTGAAGATTGCATGCTAAGCTTGTGTCGTTCAAAAGAAATAGAAAACACGTCCATTATGCATTAACGTCTCTTTAACATCAATTTACATTCTTATAACTGCCAGTCTTAGCACCAAACAAGAAATATTTCGCTTGGCACAAAATATTCTTCGGTGTCATCTAAAAACGTGTGCCAATCACTACTTATCAATACTGCCAATCAAAACGCATCTCAAAGTAATTTTAGATTATATTTTACTTCTGTATTTCAATGAGAGAGACCTTTTTAAGACCAATTTTAATTATTTTTTATTTATTTATTTAAGTATTTAAACAACAATCAGATTTTACATTTTTATGGGTTATTTTGATTTTAAAGTCCCAATAAATGTCCTGATATGGTCAGTTTTCTACTGTTTCTTTCTTCCAATACTGGTTGGAGTACTGTGTTAGTGTACGACTCCAATCTTTGGTGATGCTTCTGGCTTCTTTTTTGAATTGACTCTTGAACTGTTGCAATATAAAGGTCTTTATGTATCATCTGGTTTGATACATACAGGGAGCGTCTACTATTGCTCGCAAAATCTTAAACTGTAATTTGTAAAATAGCTGACACATCCCCACAGAATTTTAGATTGGAATAATTACAACGTTGTACGAGTATATTAATATTTTATTTTCAATCGGCGTTTTTGATATTTAACTAGCAGCCAATATAAATCTTTAATTTACATTTTTTATTTATGTGATCTTTCCAAATGAGTTTGATATCTAAGTGGATTCTTAGGTATTTAACAGATAGGTTTTGTGGAATTTCAATGCTGCTAATATGAATTATGGGGTGAAAAAAGAAACGAGAACATTATTGAGTAAAAATTAAAATTTAATAAAATCAGGCGAGAGTGTTTGGCTTTACAAAACCATCATCACATCCTTCCTGAAATACTGATATGAATTATAGTTTTAGAATAAAATAATAAACTGGTAGATACCTACACACAGGCCATCGAATATGTTCATTTTAATGTGTATATGATAACTATAAATACTGAGCAGATTTAAAATGTTCAAAAATGGTTCATTCCATTTCTATTTATAGTTAACATACATCCGTTAACAATAATGCTAGTTAAATCTTTTTATCTTTCATAAATGTTTTTGTTATTCAACGTTTTTGTGAAGGTATATCTGTGAGTACCTGACGTAATTTTCTTATTTTAATGTAAAACTATTATATTATTGTAAAAGTCTGGTCTGATTTTATTTAATTTTAATTTTTACAAACTCGTCTCATTCTTCATCCCATGTTTAGTGTGTAAACCAATCCGTCTTTTTATAAATTATAATTATGTTTATTCCAAATAAAATGTGAACTGAAAACATCTTATATCATCAACTGGTTAGTAATGTTTTTAGTCGTCTTTCTTTGGTATCTTTTTTTGGAAACTGGATAAAACTTTTATGGTTACCCAGCAAGCTGCATGATAGGTAGTGTGAGTCTCCATATCAAGCCTCGATAAAATAATTTGTTTCTCCATTCTTTTTATATCCATAATTAATCGGTGGAGTAGATTCATCTACCACATTCAGCTAGTTTTCTTGCCGTTTTATTACCTTTTTTTTTTCTTCCTAATATCCCCTTTTGTTTGGGTTTTGTCCTGTGGTTTCGGATATTGTTCTGCTATTCAGCCTGTGGTAGTGGCACTTCTTTGTTATCACTGGTTCCCACACCTCCACTCCGTAAAGAAGATAGAATGGGCTACTGAACCTAAGAAACTTCTCTTGCTGGCCAAATATTATCTAATGTTTGGTATAAGTTTCGTTAGGGCTTTTGTAGACCTGTTGACTTTCTACAGCCATTTTGACGTGTTCTCCAAAGGTCAGACTCTTGTCCAGGTAGATCCTGAGGTTATTTACAACACATTTGATTTCAATGGTTGTATCTTCTACTATAAAGCTCACTGTGGAGATTGTTCTGTCTGAGAAGAGGATGGTTTTTGTTTCTTGTCTTTTATTCCATTATCTATTGTCCTTAACAATCTGTTTGTTCTTTGTACGTACCTAGTGTAACAACGTCGCCAATATTGAGT